CGTGATGGAGATGAATAAGCATTTGCAATCTAGACTGCTGGACCTTATGCAATGCCGATTGTTATGGTCCAGAGAAGCGGACTCACCCGCAACCAGAAACAGAAAGAAGCTCAAGATAGAAAGCCTATCACCCACTGAGGAGTAGCCCATACAGCCCTCAGGTTAAATTTCCCAGAATTCTTAATAAAACTATAAAAAATTTAGAACTCAATTCCGTAGTTTTTGTACCTGTCTATAAGACATGGTAAAATTCATACCTCTGAAGTTTGGAGACGCCCTAAACAATTGAATGATTGTTTCTTAATAGTTTTTCACTGTTATTACCCTATTCTATTTCACTATAAAAGCAGACATGTCTGTTTTAATATTTTTAAAATTCAATTCAATTTTATTTAACTTTTAAAATATTAATAATTATTTTTCTCATACAAATAATCTAGTTTTACTTTTTAGTTTTTGCTAAAATACTATCGTAAAAAGCATTAGAATACTAAACCAGCACAGCAAAGATGGTAAACCAGCACCGCAAAGATGGTAGACATACATACACGTGTGTCGGCTCCATTGACCAACCAACAAGAATACGACAACTCCAGGGCTTAACACTAGACCCACATATTCTAAAAGGTACTCTGCAAGCCCAAACATTATGAAAAAGTAACAATTTTACCCTAACCTCCCTTACTCAAAGTTGTTATTTGAATTTTGATACACAAAATCCGATAAAGAGACCAAAAAAAAAAAAAAAAAAACCCCTCTTTCTTTCTTACTTGAATGCTATAAAATGAACATAACAATAATTTATTCTTCAATGTACTTTTCTTATTTACTAATACAAACTAAAATTTAGAAAAAGAAAGAAAAGAAATCTATAATATTTATTAAACTAAAATTAAAATAAGAAATAATTACTTTACACAAAAAAATTGTCAATCACCTGTTTTAATATAATTTCCTTATTATCTTATCACAGTCTTTCTTTTTGTTTCTGGTCATTCACTGTACATCACTTATTCTTGGAGTCTTGTGATTAATAAATTCTTTCTCAAATTTCTTAAATTTTATAATTATTCAAATTACTAAAAAAGAAAGAAAAAGTAATAAATAATCCAATACAAATTCTACTACACACAATTTCAGTAAGTAGGGCTCCGTTTGGTTCACAATTTTATGTTTTTGGGAAAAGTTTTTTGAAAAAAGTTAAAAAAAAAGTTGAATTGGGTGGGTATTACGATGTAGGATTTACAAATTTTAAAATACCACCTATGTTTGTTTTTTTACAAAACAACCCTTATAATAAAACATTAAAAGTTAACAAAAATACCCCCAATCCACCCTCAAATACGGACAGCCAGCCACCACCGTCGGAGGGTGGCCGAAGTCGCCGTAACAAAAATATTAAAAATATTTAGGGGTATTTAATTGAATTAACAAATTTAGGGGGTTTAAAAAATGTTGAATAAAGTTGAATAATATTGTGAGTTTTTGGGTATTTTACTGTTTAACTTTTTTGGGAATACTAAAAGTAGCATTCCCAAAATCCAACCAAACGAAGCCTAGGACTCTATTTTCAAAATACTCTATTCTTATTCTTAAAAAAGAGCATGTTAATTTCCCTATTATCAAAATCATATTCTATAATATTTAATTATTTTATATCCCCGTTTATTAATTTAACTAAACACTCTCAACAATTTTTTTTTTTATAAATTGACAAAAACACCCCCACCCACCCACATTTGTCAAATTCAACAACCACCGCCGGAAGGTGACCAGAATTTAACATAATGATGTACTATCGATTTGATCTGACCGGTAGTGTGCCGATCTGGCATTTTTCGAACAGATCCACCATGGATCTAGTCGAAAAAGGCTAGATCCATGACCAAAGATCTGGCCGTTGACGGCCAGATCTTTGGCCACATCTAGCCGTCAATGACGGCATATATATGGTTGTCGTTGACCATCAACGACGACCATATCTTTGGCCATCAACAGTGGCCATCAACGGCTAGATTCGGTTGTAGATCTGACTTTTTTCAGCTAGATTCGGCTGTAGATCTGGTCGAAAAAGGCCATAGCAGTGCACGACTAGTTAGATCTGGCCGGTCATACGCAATGAAACAAGATTTCGGCCAGATACCTAAGGGTTTTTTTTGTGGGAGAGTGAGGGTGTTTTTGTCAATTTATAAACTTTTTATTATTGGGGGTGTTTAGCTAAATTAACAAACATAAGGGGTTTTTTATTAATTTTCAAATCCTAACTCGTAATAATAACCCAACTCAATTTAATAATAATATTTCAAAAATATTACTCAAAATAATAAAACAAACACACCCCTTTTTAGAGTAAACGACATTTTCCCACCCAAGTTTGGCGAATCTACAAGTTCCCACCCCTGGTTTCATAAATTGTAGATTCCCACCCTTAAACTAATATCGTCTACCAAATATTATGTGAGTTATCCCAGTAAATTCTCGACAGAGCATATCCTTGAAGAGTGAAAAAATAGCATCTGCATTCTTCAAGTCTCTTATAGTATCTAACAAACCTGTACTAGCTTCTAAACTTTGCCAGAAGCTTCCTGTAGCTCCCTGTAATGTGGATCTGAGGAATCCATAAGTATCACTGAGTCCAAAATTTTTATTTTGCACATGAACCCAGTTAATAGTTTCCCATGCCTCAATTGCATCCGTAACATTCGTGACACAATCAAGGTTTAGGAAACTTCTACTAGACGGTATCTCCACCATTCTAGGTATTCCCCTAGGTATAAACTCCGACCTTATCCTTGTGGGATAAGTTTGTTTATATTCGGGTTTGGAGATTTCCTTAAGGAATCCTTTGAAAGAATTTAAAGGGTTATGAATTCCTTCAAGTGGGTCATCTTTAAACTCAGATTCCTTGAGTCTAGAGATTAGCTCATCGAGCTCCGCCTTTTTAGGTCCTGGAGTAATTTTTAAACCTCTAGTTTCTTCCCCTTTCCTTTGTTTCCTCATTTCTTCCTCATAATACCTCTTAATTCTTTTAGCATCAAAGGTAGAAGTTTCTGGAATATCAACCTTCCGTTTGCCATCCACTTTAGAAACAAAGTCTTCTTCCTTTACTCCTTTCATAAAGAGCTTTTCCGCATTTTCCCAGTCACCTTGGGTTTCTTTGGCTACGAACTGTGCATATCCTGGAGGCAATCCATGATATTTTTCCTGTAGACTTGCCGCAAACTGATCCAAAACGTCCTGACTACCCATGGTCAATCTGAATCAATCCTTAAACTAGCTGCAAAGTCGGACTCTTTATATGGTTCAAGATCTAGATCCGGCTAGGATTCGTCGTACCAATAAGGAATTACCGCCTCAGTCTTTTCCAACCACTTATTCCAAAGTTCCAACTCAGCAACTTCAATGGTTGAAATCTGGCAAATAAAGCACAAAATCTTTGTGCACCCTTGACTAAAGGCTTTTTGGATAGCATCCAAAAGTCGCTTTACTCCTAGCCAAGTTAGATACTCTTCTCGAATATCTGGATTTCCGTTATTGAGGTCTAACACAACCTGTTTAACCTCTTGTTCCGTATATCCTTCAATAGGCCACACTTGCTCGATGTCACTTAGAACCAAGGACATCTGCTATTTTACTGACTTAGTAAAATAGTTAGGATACGTTCCAGTGTCTTAACCTTTTGAAGTGCAGAATTGAGTCAATTGACCTTTTCAATCTGTTTTCCAATCTGGGTCAGTTTTTCGTTTAGAGCAAATATATGATACACCGTATAATTCACTCTCTTGTCTAAGTTATCAAGCTTCTGGGTCAAAAGCTCTAACTTATCTATGACAGTATTTAACAAACCGGTCTCTGGTTTTCCCTCGAGTCCATGATCCAAATGAAAACAAGTCTTATTCATACAAACTTCATTATTAGAATCATTATTCATGCTATAAACTTTCAACAGGTTAACAAGTCTAGAGACCCCCCGTCTTCCAAAGCTCTGATACCATTTACACCCACATAATATTTGTTAGACCTTTTCTCTCAGAAAACCCCCACATCTCAAATTTATCTCAAATAACCCCCAAAGGAGATTCCAACCAAGCCAAAAATCTGGCTTGATTCTAACACCATTGGACCTCCTCGACACCACCATCAACATCCCCTTATCCTCCTCACCAAAAGCCCTAACTTTTCCACCCGACTGCACCTCGCCGAGGTGCCAGAATTTGGCTGGAAAGGGGCATCAAAACGGGAAAACCTAAAGGAGAGGCAACGACGATTGGGAGGCAATTGCAGTCAGCGATGTTGGATGTTTTGGTGGGAGGAAGTCGAAGATGCTATTGGTGGTCTTAGGGTGGTTTTTGACGTCGAGACCTGCAGGAATTTGGATGAAATGCTGATTGATACTTAAAGCGACGACCGACGATTGGAGAGTTCAATCAGGTGGGGAGGTTAGAAGTTTTGATGTGGGGGTTGAGGGGACTGTAATGGTGGTGTCGGGAGGGGTCGATTTTGTCAGAAACAGGCCGGAAATCGCCAATGGGGTGAATTTGAGAAGTGAATGGTTATTTTAAAATTTTTCGGTGGGGTGAATTTGAGAAGTGAAGGTTGTTTTGAAATTTTCATCTTTGAAATAACCATTTTACCCTTTTTTAATTGTTAGAGTAAATAATTTTCTGTTAATTTAAGGGTGAAAATCTATAATTTATGAAACTAGAGGTGGAAACTTGCAGATTCGCCAAATCTTGGGTGGGAAAATGTCGTTTACTCTTCTTTTTATTATTATTTTTATTGGCTTTTGCCGTATTTTTATTGTTAATTGATTCTTATAATAATGATGGGCCAACACTGTTAGTTTTGGGGGTGAAATTGTCACTATATTATAATGTTCGAACGTTTTAGTTGGTTTCTACTTTCAAGAACCTTTGAACTTTGAATAGAGGGATTAAACAAGGGGGAAAATGAATTTACCCATTTTCTATTAACCCTTAAAACACTACTGATCTCTTTAGAACATAAAGGCTAAAACCCTGACGTTAAACTATTTGAGCTTCTGGTTGTCAGTGTGCGCTCTTCTCCCAACGAGACAGTAGAGGGTGTAGCTCCATCCAGAAAATGGCGCAATTGAAGGCAGTGTCACCGCCGTGTTCATCAATCAATCTTGCTCATCTTGGCCCAAAGACTGGTTTTTTTTTTTTTTCCCTTCAGTCTAAATTTCAATTCCTATATTTGCTTCATTTTTTCTTTTACGGATTTTTAGATGCATGTATCATTCATGGGATATTTTTTATTGTGACAAAATATTAGGTTACTTCATTTTATTTTACATTATTTTGTTTAACTGTGAAGACATTAAAGTATAGTTATGTTTTGTAATATAGATTCCGTTTAATCCTTATCATTTTTCCCTGCAGGGTCTTGGTTGTATAATAATAAAGTATCTTGGCCAAGAAAGGTGCATTCATTGCAACAGGTATTTACACTGGGATTTTGTATGGTTTCTTCTTCTTTTTTTTTTTTTTTTTTTTCATGTCCCTTCACTGTTGTAAGTACTATTCACTTCTGGAAAAATTGATTTATTTATGCTTCTACTTGGTTTTATGTTTGTGCTTTAATGAGATGTTTTTTAATTTTGGTTTGCAGTTTGGGTCAAGCGCAAGTGAACTTCATGGTCATGCATTTGTTAGCAATAATCGCAATGTCACCCAAGTTTGTGACAAGAAAGGTGTGGTTAAAATGAGAGAATCATCCTTTCATGTATTCATCATTTGAATATGATTTTTGGTTTTTTGGTTTTTGTTTTATTCTAAACTGCCCAGTTGTGGATGTCAATATTTTATTGATTGATCTTCTACTTGGATTGGCAAGAGAATGAACTGTGGCACATTTATGTAAAATGACGGGTAGGAAATGGAAATGTGTAAAATTAGTCAAGTACCATAGATTGATCTCAATGCATTAGTTTTGTAGGTTTTGTTGTTACACTCCTCAAAGCAAACAAGTTTGGTAAAGATGCTAATGTTGGGTAGTTTATCCGTACTTAATGTTATGTTTTTAACCTAAGTGATTTACAAGCTATTTGACATTCAATTATTATTATTATTATTTTTTGCTTTTTGTGTAATTCTGATGGCTTGTACTTGAGTTTTAGTCATTCAAGCAGTTCTTTCAAGTGATAAAGAGGTGGAAGTTTCCTCAGCTAAAAATGGAGGCCTGCGTGGCAAGTTGAATAAGGTTGTTTTAGCTTATAGTGGTGGCTTGGACACATCAGTCATTGTTCCGTGGCTAAGGTATACTCCTTGTTTTTTGTTTCATATTAGTTCTTTTTGTGAAATTAACTACCAATAGTTCATGAGTCATACAGTGTAATTCTTACTTGAATTAGGAGGCATAGGAATGTGTAGATGTCAGTATGAAACTGACATGGAATTTTCTCTTATTTGATATACCCAATATGTGTTATTTTTTTTATTTTTTAATATTTGTTTAATAAGGAGTGGTAGCAGCATAGAGTTTTGAGTATTTGAAAAGCAATGTGCATTGCTGTGTGATAATAGTATAGAGATGCCAACAATTTATGAAATTTTGATAACTTTGATGTGGTGCCAACAGTGAATTTTATGTTTGCTTCTGGCCTAATCAAATATTGCCATAACTCCATAATTGGACACTTATCCTTCATAGAGTGTAATCTGTTCACTTTATGTACTGCCAGTAGCATTCCATTTCACCTCATCTTCATGTTCCTTGATGTGTTTTAAAAGATTCTGTTTTAGTTTTTTCCAGTTGGGATCTATTCCTCTGATCTTTATTTTGAATCATTTCCTTCCGATATATTTCTAATTTTTTTTTTTTTATTTTGTAGGGAGAATTATGGTTGCGAGGTTGTCTGCTTCACTGCCGATGTTGGTCAAGTATGTTGATAGATTGACATATACTGTACTTACTGCATTATTGAACCTATTATGTGTCCTTAGATCCCATTGACCTGTTATGTTATGTTTTATTTGGTTATGATAAAGTGGGCTTGAGTAGAACTCACTCCCAAAAACTAGCTCAAGGGAGGAGGGAGCCCAATCACTTATATACACCATAACAGCCTACTATTAGGGTGATGTGGGACAAATTCAACTTCTAACAGGTTATAACTTATTTTCTTAATGTGTATGCTTACAAACATTCATTTTATAGGGCATTGGAGAACTGGAAGGTTTAGAAGAAAAGGCCAAAGCTAGTGGAGCTTGTCAGTTAGTGGTGAAGGACTTGAAGGAGGAATTTGTGAGAGACTACATATTTCCTTGTTTGCGAGCTGGTGCAATTTATGAAAGAAAATACTTGTTGGGAACCTCAATGGCACGCCCGGTTATTGCAAAGGTGATCTCCCATATCAGAGTTAATACTGATTGAGTAGTTTTGCATTCTAAGGGTCTGCTCTAAGCCTTGATTTCTACTTGTTGTACATAGTGAAGGAAATTGTGCCATCCTTTTGGTCGTTTTTCCTCTTTCTTGATTATTAACTAAATAAATATTCTTGACATTTTTTGTTTAATGACGGGTATGACTGTGTTGAGCTGTTAGTTATTTATGGATTTGTACGTTGGTTTTTATCTTTTATATGATAAATTTGTTGTTATAATGGTTACTCATGATGACAGGCTATGGTGGATGTTGCCAAAGAAGTTGGGGCTGACGCTGTCTCTCATGGATGCACAGGGAAAGGAAATGATCAGGCATGTTGCAACCTTCATCTTTGATAATTAAAAGACATTTTGTGTTAATTTTCTTACTAAATTTTGCCTTTCTAATCATCTTCAGGTCCGCTTTGAGCTTACATTCTTTGCTTTAAATCCTGAGCTGAATGTTGTGGCTCCATGGAGGGAATGGGATATTCAAGGAAGAGAAGATGCCATTGAATATGCCAAGAAGCATAATGTGCCTGTCCCTGTGACGAAAAAATCCATATACAGCAGAGACCGGAACTTGTGGCATTTGAGCCATGAGGTGACTGCCAATAATTTATTCTTTCTAATTGCATCTTATATTTATTGATATGATAATCCAAAGTCATGTTTTAGAGTAGAAGTTGAAAATCTGTTGTCTACTGTGAACTTTATTATTAATCTGCCAGTTTAATTTGTTGGACATTTTATAACCTGTAGTCATCCTTGCCAGAGTAAGATGGTATGGTTGTAGTTATGAATATGTAAGAGACACCTCTTTTAGATCTACAGATGGCATATTTGGTGAAAGAGTAGTCAAAGGTATTTTAAGTCACTTCAAATGGGAATTTTCTCACGGCATAGGCAACTTTTTATTCCCATTACATAGAGAAATTAGGCACATCTACCAAATTGTTTTCCCTTTTCTGAAGATATGAAATTAGGTGTATTTACCCAGTTGTGTGCAACATATGCGCTTATACTTAAGTTTTTGAATATGCATGGGTCTATGGTGGTGGAAAAGAATCACATAATTTTGTTCTAATTATGGAGCTGGTGATGTTAATCCAGTTATTTCATTAATCCCTGATTTTGCATAGAAATTAATGAATTCATTCATTTTGATGACCATAGTTTAAAGTTGCAGGGCATTGCTCAAAAACTTTGTTGTTGTTTCTCCACTCACTTTTCTCCCCTAATTTTGTTTTTTATGTTTGTGAACCTGAAGGGAGACATCTTAGAAGACCCAGCAAATGAGCCAAAAAAAGATATGTACATGATGAGTGTTGATCCAGAAGATGCACCTGACAAACCTGAGTAAGTTTTCATAACATGTTTTCAATCCAGCATATCTCTTTTTTCTTTTTTCTTGTTCTTTTTCTTTTTTTTTTTCTCTCCATAATGAGATGGTACTTACTTCTATGCTCTTACTTCTATGCTCTTACTTCTTGTAGACTCGTTGAAATTGGGATAGTTAAGGGTCTTCCTGTTTCAGTCAATGGAAAACAGCTTCCCCCAGCATCCCTTCTTGCCCAACTAAATGAGATCGGTGGGAAACATGGAATCGGCCGTATTGACATGGTTGAAAACAGGCTTGTCGGTATGAAAAGTCGTGGAGTTTATGAAACTCCTGGTGGCACCATCCTCTTTGCTGCTGCTCGTGAGCTAGAGTCTTTAACACTTGATCGAGAAACAATTCAAATCAAAGATTCCCTAGCCCTCAAGTATGCAGAGCTTGTTTATGCAGGAAGGTGGTTTGACCCACTTCGCGAGTCAATGGATGCGTTTATGGAGAAGATCACTGAGACCACCACAGGTTCTGTGACTCTCAAGTTATACAAAGGATCTGTTTCTGTAACTGGTCGGAAGAGCCCGAACAGTCTGTATAGGCAAGATATCTCTTCATTTGAGAGTGGACAGATTTATGATCAGGCTGATGCTGCTGGATTTATAAAGCTTTATGGTCTTCCAATGAGGGTTAAGGCAATGCTTGAGAAGGGTATCTGACGAAATAGATTTTTTTTTTCTTTGTATTGCTAGATTGAGCCTCTGGATTTAAGTTTTGACGTCTATATCTTGGTTAGAGATTTATTTATTGTAACTTTGGCTTGGTTGGAGATAATTATTTGAAGTTATTTAGTTGAATATAATCTTATATTTGAGTTGTTCATTAATATTTCCTTATGATCAAGAGTCTAGTTGGTGCCAGTGAGGCAGAAACTAAAATCATTTGGAGCTTATTCTCAAAATAATTTCTGTGGATACAGATAGATTATTGCTTTATAGGAAACACAAAACTATATATTAAAGAAAAGATTAGATACATCAGTGTATTAGAAATCCACAAAGACATCAAAGAGGTACTGGGAAATAAATCTATAAAAAATAGTGACTAGTGTTCCATTCTTTGCGTGAAAACACAAGTAAATTATACAAATTACAAAGATAGTCTAAAAACCCTTCTCAATTAAGATGAATAAGGAAAAAAGAAGTCTTTGAATTCCTTTAAAGAGTTTATTTTTATTTCCCCTATATTAACTCATCCATTTCATTCATAAAGTATTAAAAACACTTTTGTAATTAAAAAAATTCATATACCTCTTACAAAATTATTAAAAACCCCTAAATAGTTTTGAACATGTGAGCAATCTCACGTGAGAGAATGAAATGAGCTATTTCTTAAGCAAAAAGTTTATTTCTCCCATAATGTCTCATTGTTATTGTCACATTTCTCTCAAAGGATATGATTATTTCTTTCTTGCAATATAATCTAAAAAAGAATTGAAACGACATATGTTGAAAGAGATTTTAGAAAAGCAAAAATATTATCCTAATTAGAACTCCACAAGAATTTGGATAGTTAAAGATATCTAAATTCTTTCCAAACTCTAATCCATAATTTTGAAGCCACTGAAAAAGAGCATCGATGAGAGAGATTTATTGATGCGTGATTTTAACATCAACTAATCGACACGTGTGTAACGTTGATTGGTTAAGAGACACACGTGATTATGGATAGAATGTAAAATAAATACAATGAGAGCTTTTTAAAGTGGTTCGGATGTTAAGGTAGCAAGTCCTACATCCACTGATTTGTATTAGTATTGTGGGTCAGGTCGCAACAGCGGACTGACTTACAAATGATTAGGGAAAAATAAGTACAAAGTTTACAAGAGAGAGAGAGAGAGAGAGAGAGAGAGTTAGTTCCCAATGCAAAAATAGCCGAATCCCCTTAATGAAGGGTCTTCCTCTTCTTATAGCGAGATGAATGCAAGTAATCATCATTAAATCCATGGGTTGGTGTGCATGTCAGGACTAAATCCAGCTTTATGTCACATTACCCTTCTTCCAAACTGATTTCACGCGATTTTGAGCAGGGAGTGGACACGTGGGAGCTCCACAGCGTCTTGCAGGTCTGATGTGCGCTTACCGTTCTGACGGGAGCAGGTCACACTTTATCCGTGATTTCCCACATCAACCCTTGATTATTAGGCATAAAAGATTAATCTTTTTTTTTTTTTTTTTTTTTCCCCTTAGATGCTCGGCCAGTAGTTTGCGCGCACTTAGAAATGGTTAAATGATTCACACACCAAAAATGGAGAAATGGTTAATGATTTTGCTTTTGCCAATTAGCTCACTGTCCTAGCACCACGTGTTTGGCACGTTCACACGACGTGGCAGCTACGGTTGATTAATCTACAGTTTGTCCGGCTAGATTTTTGCCAAGTAACCGCCGGTTTGCAGTGATGATGCACATTGCAGAGCCGCGGCGCTTCCACTGGATCGCCTACTCCGGCTCACTCTGAGCCGTATTTACGCATCCACAGCTCTACCGCAACTCGATCCTGATCATTTCTACTATTACTACCAAGCCGAGATGGAGCGGAGCCGCGATCGCCTCTCCTTGGTTCCAGTGTCTGACGCGCTAGGCTCGGAAACAACAAGAGGAGTGCAGTTGGCATTCATCGGAAATCCAAGCGCCAAGAAGTACGTGTATGTCGATATGCTTTCGAAGCTTCTACAATTCCCCGACGTTTCAATGGCCACTGTCGTCCGTCAAGAGCTCAGCCCTCTACTAAAAGGTACTATAAGTCTTTCTTTTTTTCTTTCTTGGAACTGTTTCTTGTGTTTTTTACAATTGGTATTGGTTAGTTGTTGTTGAGAAGATTTGTTTAGTTCTCTTGGAGTCATCTGATTGATTAATTTAATTTTCACAAGATTTCTTTAGTTCATCTATTTCCTTTTTCATGGAAGTAAATTTATGATATCATATCCCCGTGCTTTTCATCCTATTATTTGTATTTTAGATTGCAAATGCGGTTAATAGAGGAGAAACTGTTCCGGAGGATATAATTTTGGGGCTGTTGTGAAAAAGATTGGAAGATGAATATTACAGAGGCGAGATTGGTTTTTTTCTTGATGGCATTCCACGTACACGCATACAAGCTGTGAGTTTCTGTCTCAACGTTGTCAAGTTAATATCATATTCTTGTTCATAATAGCTTGATTCTTGTGCATCGTCCTACAGGAGATCCTTGACCAACTTGCTGAGATTTGGTATGAACTTCTAATGCTCAGAGGATTTCGTGGTGAAAAGCCATGGAGGTCGTATCTTTTCCCTGCTTTCATGAATGTTAAGAGATGAGCAACTCCCTTGTTATATTTTTTGTTATGCCTTTTGCCATTGCAGAAGGATCCTGGAAGGAAAAACTACAAGCTTATGCTGGACAGATAATCATTGATCAACATATTATCTTGGCTTTATAATTTTGGTGTTACTTTATGAACTCAACTGTGGATATTTACCACAACATTATTTTGTTTTCCCACACCATGGTTCCCATAACCTAGTTTGTCGATTTTTCTGTGTATTCATTTCCAAGCTAAGGCAAGACAACATTATAAAATGTTCGAAAAAGTGATTGAAAAGAAGAAAAAAAACCCTATTAAAATGATGTAGCCCCTTTAGTTGAGAGATATCTTTGTTTTGTCCTTATTTTCAAATTCGTGGCACACCATCCTTTTCCTTTTTCCAGCTGATGTGCACCTTTCAGACTAAATCATATTTGAAGTTGTTAAGTTACTGAAGGCTGTGTTGTTGGTTTATACAAGTTTAATTCCGAGACAAAGCATCTCCCAGTTTTGTGAACATGCTGAATTTACTCTTATCTGTTGTTACAATAATAATTCGCAAAAATTGTTTATAAATGTGGATATGTTTCATAAAGAAACTGTCATTTGGGCTTTTATGAAATTACACTGAAAATAGTAAAAAAAAAAAAAAATTGTATTTTTGGATCTTTTTCTGTAGGTTGGACATTGAAAACTAGATATATACTTATTTTTCTTTTTCCTTCTTCAGAGCAAGCAGCTGGAAGTTTATTACATGAAACAGAAAAAACTTCTTGAGTTTCAAGTTAGTGGTGCACCGGTAGAGACTTGGCAAGGACTTCGGACTTCATTACATCTACCACATATTGATGCTGCCCATTTTTCACAAAAAGAGATAACAGGTTCCAATGTACATTAGACTTTGTATTACCTATTTTTCATTCAGGAGCTGACTTTACAACAATAGTTAGGCAAAGAGGAAGAGTGTTTGTATATACATAATAAATGTTATAGATTTAAGTTTTGCTGCTTTTCTGTTGTCCAAGAGTAAAGCAATATTGATCCTGCTATTTGTATTCATATCTTTGGCATTTTAGCAGAGACTTAGTGCCTTTCTCCAGTTTTTGCTATATTCTTACCTAATTCTTAGATTGATTTTTTCATTTTGCTAAATTTCTGTTTTTTTTTTTTTAATCTTATTAAAATTTAGCACAAATTAAATGGGATGATGTGGATAATAACAGTCAGTACCATGTTGATCTTTGGATACTACTATAACAATATTATTCTTCTAAGAAAAAAAATCAAATATAAAGAATTACTCCCAAAAGTAAAATGATAATAGATCCCAAATTGAAGCACAAATTTATGAGTAGTAAATATCCTCAAAAGTATGCTTTATCAGCAAACTAATCAAAAAGGCAGCTCCAGAGATATACAAAAATGTGCTCGCCGCCATCAAATTCTAGGTTCATTATCGGCTGTTGCCTGGACTTGAGCTGCATACTGAAGGTTCCAAAGAATGTCCTCAAAAGAGGGACGACTCCATGATTCAGAGCAGATGCATTTGTTTGTAATTGCGATCACAATTGAGAGGGATTCTTGTGAGCAAGTCGCCAGCACTACTGGGTTCACAATCCTTCCTCTGCCATCTGGGCTGTTTAAAGATGCCTGTAAAATTCAGAGTCCACTATTAGACAGAAGGGCAAAGAAAAGGTTTCACTTCATTGGGCAATGTTATAAATTATGATAATTATCTGCATACATACCAATTCATCTCGTAGAAATGCTCCTTTTCTAGCAGATACTGAAGGTCCAACAAGAGACTCGAGTATCATGAATCCAAAGCTCAAAACATCATCCTCTAATTTTATCATTTGCCTGCAAAACTTAAATTAGTTAAATGAAAATCTCTCTGTTAAATTCTATAAATTGTTCGAGCTCATTTTGTTCTGTTGGATAAATTATGCTGAGTTTGTTTTTACCTGGATTCGTGGTCTCCCTGTTTAACCTAGCGACACAGAACAGAAATCATAAGCAAATTGGGACCAAGATGTTGATTGGAAGGACAGAAATTTTAGCCTTACCCCAGTACTGTTAATTTCTTCCGAGACAATAGACAGTCCATAGTCACTCAACTTTGCAATTCGATGCTCATTTAGCAAGATATTGTTTGTCTTCAATCTGTTGTTGAAGAAACCAGGAATAACTCCAGTATGCAAGAAGTGCACAGCCTTCGCCGTACCGATTAGAACAGCCAATCTCTCTGACCAATTGAGAACCTCTCCCGGAGTATTCTCTACACATGTAATTAGAACCGAATTAAGTGGAAAGGCAGAGTTAACTTCTAAGATAATGGATTATTCAATGTTGTAAAAATTACCAGAGAGATGACTTCGAAAATTCCCATTTGGCACGTATTCATATATGAGAAACACTTTGTTTATACTGTAATCATCGCGGCCTCCACCATCAATGCAGTGCCCCAAAAGGCAAACCAAATGCGGATGACGAAGCTTTGCAAGTAAATCCAGCCTGAGTTTAAGATTTCGAATGGAATATTTCCTTGATGGAGGTAGGCACCTTACCGCAACCAGGGTTCCATTTTCTAATCTTCCTTTGTAAAGCTGGAAAATTGAAGGACAAAACAGTGAGTTCAAGAAAAGGGTCTATCGCAATCTAAATTGTGAAGCACTTTATGAGACACTGGATGCTAATGTAATTGACAGTACCTTCCCATATGAACCCTCGCCCATAAATGCAGAATTATCAAAGTTGTTTGTTGCTTCATTCAACTCCTCTAAGGCAAACGGCCGGCACACTGGAAGCCCCTGAGAGCCCAACTTTGCAGCTTCAGAAATAAACCCTGTAGAGTGAAGAAAGAAAAAGTATAGTCACCATTTAACTATCATGTGCAGGTGCAATCTTCAGAATTATCAAAGTTTTTTTTTTTTGGTGGATGACCTACGTGCGTTTGTCAAGATGTCTGAAGAGAACCCTGCTGCTGAGTTATCTTTAACTGCTTTATGCAGTAAATGCTGCTCCGATTGCCCTCGCGGGCAATATCTTCTACACACAATGAGGAATGCGAAAGCCAGAAGCCCCATAGTGATAACTATGCATACAATAATGCCCACCAATATTGCTACATTTCTGCTTTCAGATTGCTTCCTCTTCCTGTGGACTTCTCTGCAGTATGATTCTGCATGCTGATTAGGTACCTGAGTGGATAAGCAATTTCCACCAAGCTTAACCACTCTTTTAGCTGATTCATTGCTTAAACAGGAAGGTACTTCTCCTGCTAATCGATTGTCAGATATATCAACAAAACCAAGCTTGCCTCCACAGTTTAGATGATTTGGAAGTGATCCACTCAGCATGTTTGATGCCAAATTCAAGTAACTGATGTTTGGCAATGAGAAAAGTAGACCCGGAGGCATTCCTTCCAGTAGATTGGATGACAAGTCTAGGTGTTGTATTTGGTTTAGCTTGCTATATTGCTTTGGAATCTCACCTGAGAAGGAGTTGTTACTGAGAAAGGCCATGACCAGTCCTCTTGGCAACGCAGGTAGATCAGAATCTAATTTGTTTTCACTCAAGTCCAGCACATTTAAGCTACTTAGGCCACTGAGATCTGGTAATCTCCCAGATATTTCATTCACAGATAAAACAAGATCAGTGAGAGTGGTCATATGCCTTATTGAAGATGGAAATGGACCCTTTAATCTGTTATTTCTCAAGCTTAGAAATGTCAGATTAGAGAGAGAATCAAACCAATTGGGGATTGTATCATTGAAGAAATTGTCATCCAACTTAAGAGTTTGAAGCTTCACCATTGCAGAGATTTTAGGAGGAACTGAACCAAAGAGATAATTGGAACCCAAGTCCAGGTATTCAAGTGCAAACAGTCGATGAATTTTGTCCGGAAGTGGACCCCAAATTCCCAAAGATACCAAACTAAGAACTCTCAAGCTTGTCAACCTTTCCAGAGTAGTGACAAAAGAATCCATAGAAAAGTTCTCTGATAAAGTTAGATTTGCAATTGCAAAACCTTCAAAATTACTAACCTTGGAAGGCGTATCACCCATGATTTTGAGCTCAGTCACAACATTGTCTTGGCATGAGATGTTCACTTGTATAGAAGAAGTTATATAACAAAAATCGGTGCCATGATCGTTCCATATCTCTAGTTGCTTAGGGTACTCCAAATGCTTCCTTAGTTGAAGAAGCACTTGTTCCTGTGAGGATTGCAGTTGATAGGAACCCGGAATCGTCAAACTCCATGTAAGACTTAACAGCAATAACAAGTTAAAATACCCCATGGAAAAGCTTTAACTACTTTCTGCAGTTCCTTTGTGAGCAGTTATGAGTCTGAACTCTGAAACAACAAACAAATTATTAGCCAAACATCCAGAGAAGAGCCTTCAGGGATTAAAAAACAAAAAACCCAGAAAAGTAATGCATATACTATGAACAAGAGCTTCACCTCTGAAGTTCAAAAAGTGAACTTTTGTCAATGTTAACTTTCTGAAGTCAGACAAAACATACTAATCGAAAACTAAGAGGGGAAGAACAGATACTTTAGCAATAAGTGATCCAGGATCATGTTTCAAAAGATATGTTGAATGATTCAATGACATTTTCGGAAGCCATGAAGGAGAAAAAGAACTAGTGAACAAAAAATTATGTGTATTGGGAAGTGATTGTTTCTCTTTTTTTATCTGAAGTAAAGAAGTCGAGCCATTGAATAATACCCAGAAACACTAATAAAAAACACAATGTTTTTAGCTGAAAATCTTAGGCGTTGCTAGGTGGGGTACCTTGAGTAAATGCATGTAGTGCTTCCACATGCTGTTTTCCTTCAGCACAGGGAGCTCCTTCCAAAATAAATGGAATGAATTTTTGCCTTCAACATCCATTAACTAGTAGAGTGAGTACTGAAGAGCTAACGGAATCTGTTATTTTGCTCCAATATGTTTTTCCCATCTACTTCTTTTCATCCTGTCCTTTCCAATTCTACGTCATATGTCATTTCCCTAAAAGCTGCAGTTATTTTACCTCATACTCCTATTATCAAAGTTGCAACTTGCCTATCAATTATTTCATGAAATTCAAGCAAAAAAAAAAAAAAAAAAAGAGAGTAGAAGAGAGCATGAAAAACTGGTTTTTGTTTAGCAAATATCAGAATCTTTTGTTTCTGTAACCAAGTCATTATTTTAAGCTAATGTATGATAGATGTTTGGGAAATTGTGGTGGCAAGAACAGGACAGGCTGTAAATGGGCAAATTTGCAGTTTGCCCATAAATTTCATTTCCTTCCGTTTGACTGTATAGTATATTTAATTACTGATATTTTTTCAGCATACTGTTTCCATTGTACTCTCAGGCAGTCAGGCCCACTCTAAATCTTGTACCAAGGAGATAAGAGTTATGGTGTGGCCAGCTCTGCAATTTCCTCACTTAATTCAACAGTTATTTTAAAGTTGTCAGGAATATTTTTTTATTATAAGAAACATATTTAAGAACACAAAAGCATGAGATGATGACATTTTCCCCACCAAAGTTTGGGTCTACTACCCCAGATCTCTCAGTTTAAACTAATTAATAGACCCCCTAATTCTTAAAAGTTAAAAACGTTAACCCATGCAAAGGCAGAACAAGTAATTCACTCGTACACATAACTGTAGAATGAGTGGTTCACTTGTTTCAGATTTGGATTTTGTTATACCTGGGAACTCAGGGCTGACGTGGCACCCTGTTAAGTACGCAAGGTCAGACCTCGGGAAGAGCCTACTGCCATCCTGACGTAGCTGCTTCGTGTAATCACGGTGGCATCCACAGCTTGCTTTCTTTAGAGTAATGGGTGCACGTCAGGTCAGCAAGGAGTTGTGATGATCCCGCGTGTCCAACCCCTGCAGCAAATCACGTGAATTACTCCAAACGAAGGATTTTCGCGGATCATCCCACCAACTTTCAGATTCAGTGATGATTACCTCAAGGCATCCCACTATAAAATGGGAGTTCCTCTCTCATTAAATGGATTCGCACATTTTACTCTTGATAAGAACTCACTCTCTAGAAAAGACAGTCTTAAATACTTGTATTATCAGTGTAAAGTCAGTCGTCTAAAGCGACCTGACCCTTATCATTAATAAAAACATCAGTGGACGTAGGATTTGCTTCCTTAGCATCCGAACCACTTTAAAACTTCTTTCTCACTACATTCACTCCCATTCTTATAAAAACCTTTCACGTGTGTCTTTTGGGGCTAACCCAACATTTCACATGTGCTTTTAGTTGGTGTCAAAATCATGCATCAACAGATTTAATCTCTGACTGTTAGATTTAGGGGGGTATCTCCTAATATTTGAAAGGTCAGGACCTTAAGATCATAGGGCAAAAGTTCAGGATGGATTAATTGTTCTCTCCTTTAAAATGTTCTTCTTTTACAACTTTATATTTTAAAAAAGGAGATGTTAAAGGCAGCTTTTCTTGTACAATCTTTAAAATGTGAAAAGCGGTTGCTGTTATACCAAAACACTTCGAATCATAAATTTAATTAATATTCAAAACAAAATACTGATAGTAAACTCTTTTTAATCGTTTAATTACATGTTGTCAATTAATTTATGTGCATTTTATGTGATTCTATAAAGCATTAACTTTCTCGTACATGATTCCAGCTTTGAAGAAAGATGATAGGCCTAAAAAATCAGGGCTGACATGAGCTTACGTTAGCAAGTGCTAATCAGAGTTCAGGAAGGGTTTGTGTCGTCTAGACGCTGTCACGACATGCAAGGACGGAAGAGGTATGGCTACAGTCAGTGCGGTAGGTGAATGCCAAGCTTGTGAGTGGCTAGGAATTATCCATCTGCCCAAGCCCTACGCGATTTAAGGATGTCTCCCGTGCAGACAACTAATGGGAAGCGGGTTAGGAATTGTACCACACCTGCCCAACTATAGAATCATAATTACTACCTTGGGTCCACCAACTATAAATAGAGGGCTCCTCTCTCATTTACGGGATGGGCTCATCTTCAATCTTCCAAAGCATATATAAACTCTCTCTTGATTGTAATTTAGCTCGCTGTACGCAACCTGACTATAACCATCTATTAATACAACCACAGTGGATGTATGATTCGCTTTTGAGCATCCGAACCACTTTAAGAACCGCTTCTTATTTCTTCTCTCATTGCGCATTTTTATATCACGTGTAATTTTTACCGCTTAGCACTTTGCACGTGTGAGTCTTTGGTGTCAAAATCAAGCATCAGCAGTTTGGGCTCTGATTTAGTATCTGCTCTTCATCAGACACCTCTGACCAACCAATCATATCCATCAACAAATGGCTTACGGTTTTGAAACTGAGCGAACCAACCTCGAAATGAGGAAATCCCCTGGGTACAGGATGACACTTCTCCCGAAGTGTCGCCAGTCCAACAGAATATCATGCCAGATATTCCTTCAAGCTCACAACTCGACCCAGCCGTGATGAATTACCTGGAGAGGTTCAAAAATACTCTCCAAACGGTTAGCCAAAGGTTAGACCGTTTGGATTGGGTCGTACCACCAGAGTCCAATGAGGCGGTGCTACCACCAAAGACGCCCGCAGGTCGCACGAAAGTGCAGAAAAGGGCAAAAGCCCATACCGTGTGCACTGCAGCTCGTAAAAGTAAGCGAAAGCAAGTGGCGAGCAGTGGACCGCAAGGCTCCGAGGGACTAGCGAACACCAATCGTGCAACGGGTAGAATACCTATGGCATTACTACTCGACTACATGTCGCAGTATGAGCCATTCCATGCCATGTCGCATGGGCACTCCCACAAAAGTGCAAGACAGAGAGATTCCCAATATCACCAAAATGATGACCTCGACCGTCATCATGCGAGAAACCCTCGTCGTTCGTGGGTCGATTTTGACTACTACGGAGGTCGGGAAAACTCCCCAAGCCATTCAATGCCTTCACACGGCCCCAACCAATGTGTGTCAAGGTTCGCCGGAGCTTTCGACCGAGTTGAGAAAGAGTCCGATTTACGGGCTTTCCTCAACTACAACCATGAGGGTCGAACCCACGTTGCAGAAAGTGATCCTCAGGTAGCTCCACTACCTCAAATTGAGGAACTGCAACGAGCTTTGGATTAGCTCAAGGATCAGCTCAAGGCTCAGCAGAATGAGCGTGGGAAGGTCGCTAAGGCGTCTCCCTTTTCCCTAGCAGTGTTAGCTATGCCTCTCCCATCGAGATTCAGAATGCCTGACATACGGGCCTTCGATGGGAATTCTAATCCGCAAGATCACCTTTACAAGTTCAACGACCTCATGAAACTCCACCAAGTCTCCGACTTGGCCAAATTTCGTTGCTTAGCAGTAACTCTGACTACCTATGCCAAGCGCTAGTTCAGATCACTTCCCGTGGGATCAATCAGCTTATGGCAACAAATAACCTCATCATTCTTGAGACACTTCTAGACGAACAGGAAGTTTTCGATGCCGTTGAGCTATCTAAGCAACATACGATAGGTGAGGAATGAATCCCTCCAGTCTTATATATACAAATTCCACAGGGAACTCCACAAAGTGGCTGACACTCCCGAAGAGTCCATTCAGACTCTCATTATCGTGGGGGTTCGCCCACAAACTGACTTATGGAAGGAATTGCAATTTGAGGACAATGTTTCCCTCACTCGCTTCTACGACCTCATTGAGAAGTATCTCCGAATCGAAAATTCTGTTGTCGCTCTTAATCGCCACACCCTCGGTCCTTCGACCAATACTCCCAACCAGGGGGGAAACAATAGAAAGGTTGATTGCTGATGGGCTAATGACGATCAATGGAAAGGAAAGAAGCAGCCATTGGAGCCCAAAAAATCTTATGCCCAAGTTCCTTGTTGCTCTAGCAACAAAAGTCAATACACTCCTTTGAATGCCTCAGTGTCGACTATTCTGGATAAGTCAGAGGAGTCCAGCCTACTCGGAGAGCCAGAGCCTATGAAGAATCCCCCTTCAGCTAGGAACAGCAAAAAGTACTACCGCTATCATCGAGATAATATGCATCACACTGATGAGTGTCGGGCTCTCAAGCAAACAATTGAAGACCTCATCAGGCACGGGCATTTCAAGGAGTATGTTGATGGTCCGACTCTCGTTCGGGAAAAGGATCAAGAGGAACAATGGAAGAAGCACCGTGGTCGCAAGGGTCTCTATTGTGTAGGGATCATCTTCAGAGGATCACACCTCGCAGAGAATTCTCGAGGTGCCTAGGAAAGGTATGCTTGGGAAGCTCGTCATGACCCCATGAGTGTGATGAGCACGGCGTCGCGACCCGTTAAGGTTCGTAGAGAAGAGAATATTACCTTCTCTGAGAAAGAGGTAGTTCGATTGCATCATCCCCATGAGGATGCACATTGCGCCTGAAATAGGTCAGTGTGAAGTCCACAGAATGTTGGTGGACAATGGAAGCGCTGTGAATATCCTGTTTCAGCGAGCCTTCGAAAAAATGCAATTGGACGAGGCAGACTTGAAGCTTGCCTCCATCCCTCTCTACGGTTTTACTGGGGATCATCTGATTCCTAGGGGAACGATCTCACTCCTAGTCATGTTGGGTGAGACCAACAAAATGATCAAGATGATGGAGTTTTTGGTGATAGATTGTCTGTCCACCTTTAACGGCATTTTGGGACGACCCCTACTACAAAGTTTTAAGACAGTCACCTCTATCTACCATTTGAAAAT